ATGGAAAAGAGAAAGAAGAAGAAAAGTCGGGAAGACAATTAACAAAAGGAGAGAGAAAGACAAATAGAGGAGAAGAGAGAGAGAGAGGAAAAAGACACTAAAAACTAGTTAGATAACCTAGTAAGAATAAGAAAAAACAAAACAACACAGTAGGGAAATCACGGCAACAACCAACATAAGCATGAGTAACAGTAAATAATAAGTACTGAATGTTACCGAGCAGCATACAAGACTGATAATGCATGATATGTTTAGGGGCAGCAGCCAACCAAGATAGTATGTGTCTGTGAGTACCTGTTTGTACACAGGCAGGTACTCAGGTGTGAGCACCTGTGTTTGTAAGCCCGCTTGTATTCCTATTCCATGGTTCTCAATGTAACTTACAGTTTGTTTAGTTAGGAGACAAACAGTGTTCATTCAACCTCTTCTGAGAAATAGTAAACCATAACTGTGGTCCACATATCCCGACTTTAAAAAAACCTGGGTTAAAAAAACTTCATTATGTGGTACCTGAGTGAAGTCCCAGTATATCCCCATTCCTTTCTGCACAGCCTCCTTACAGTTGTACAGGCCAGGCTCAGTTTCTTCTGTGCCTATGTCAGCTAAACAGCGGTTGTCATTGTACTTATGTGCCTTGATGCCACCAATGTAGAGCTCACCCGTTCCACGATAATATGCCAACTTAAAAGATAAAAGAGACAAAGGTCAAAATGATATCAAGATGTAAAAAAGTCAAACAAATGACACAGACAACAGGGTTTCAGACCACAAGGGATGATCATAAGCATGTGTAACTTATGTATGTCTTTTAATATACATAATAAATACACGTAATCTGAATTTGGCTCCGCCCTCCTTGCTTCCAGCAGGACTGCAAAATTAAACATCACTCTCTGGAAGTCCCATTCATGTGTTTTACATTTGTGCCTTTGTGATGGTTCTTGAGCTCAACCAGTGTGTAGCAAAGAAGGAACTTTAGTTTAAGCAACTTTGTGTTTCTGTGGACAAGAAATTATCTTAATGCCACTGCACATACACAAATGCATGTGCTTGGAATGGGACATCCTGTGCGTGATTTAAAAATACCAGCCGCACTGGAAGCAGTCTCAGGTTGAACAAAGGTTTAAAATGGTTGACTTTTGTTGGTGTTTTTTGTTAGTTTGTTTGTTTTTATCTTAACTTTACGAATGCACCTCTGTTACTCATGATTCTGGACAAACATGTCACTACTTCACTTACTTGAGAAACATAATAGTGGCAGTTGTAGGCAATAGGTGTGTGACCTGGTACTGGACCTTGGTCTAGGCACATGTCAGCATCAAGGTTCTTCATCTGTCAATATGATGGATAAAAGCAAATCATGGAAAAACACAGATTCCCACAAATCCCGCAGGACTCGACTGTAACAAACTTACTAAGCAACAGAGAAGAGTCAACTTACTCCTCCGTATGCGAGGAGGTCGTCCCAGGGATCCAGCTTAGGATACACATTATCCAGGTACCATTTGAAAGGTTTACAGTTCAGCCTTTCTCTGAGTTTCTTCCTCTCTGAAATGTCGCCTATGTCAATTCCATGATTCTGCAGGAACAAAGAAAAAGATGTGAATCGATTCATAGATTGTGACTGAGGAAGAATTTGAAGAAAGATTTTCGTTAAATGTCGATGTTAAAAACACAAAGAGCTCTCAAAGGCCTCATGATTCTGTGAACAGGAGAATGAAATATCCTTTAGAAAAAACATAATTTGCTGTTTGTGTCAGTGCCACAAAACACCTCAAATGGGATGTTCCAAGCCAAGTTAACGTTGTGCTTGTATTCATCCATCCAGATCTCTGCAACTCTGAGGGCATTTCTCTTCATGGCAGGACCCAGGTCAGGCATGTAGGGCTTGTGGGCCCTCTCGATGTGGGCGATCTTGGAACATGGAACAACTTCAACACTGCCTCCACATGTCCATACCTACATGAAAAAAAAGTGCACCTTAAAAAAAAATACATATTTCAACACTCATGACTGCTCCACAACTCTTCTTTAAAATCATTATTATGAAAGAAAATTTATAACCATGTGGTCTTTACTCACACGAATTCCCAGCTCAACATTTTCTCCACCATACACTTTCATTCCTTCATCAAGGACTCCAATTTCCCCCAGAAACTTTCTATCAGCAACCATGATCCCCATGACAGATGGACTCCTAAAGTCAAAGAAGAGATCTCTATTTTAACTATTGTACATTGATATTAGATCATAATGATAGAGTTAATATGGCTGTTATATAAACATTGATTTCACTTGAACTTACTTGCCAGGCAGTGAACCGTCATTAAGTTTGTAATACTCGGGTGTAAAACTCTCATACATGCACCACAGAGCCCAGTCGAAGGCGTGTGCACTGGGATGATATGTAGTAACCTTGAGATCATCAAAGCTGACTTTATCAAACACCGGGAAAACCACCACAGTTCGGTCAGCTTTAATCTGTGTCAGCAGAGGTTCAGCCCTGTATGAAGGAGGGGAAAAAATGATGGTTCAAAAAATGTTACATAATAAGTGGAAGTCACACCCTTAAAGACTTCAGTGGAAGCACACACCCAGCTGTCGCATTTAATGGTCACTTCACTTGATCTCTTTTATTTTTCAAAAGATACACCCACCTGTTCAACTTTTAATTGATGCACAGGGTTGGGATGCTGTGACAGTTTGTTGTTTTAAAAATAATTCTTTAACAAATAATTGTCTAAGCAGCATCTGCGTCATCACCACCAGCACCATAACACAAGTTAATTACTGTCTCAGTGAATCTGCTCAATGGTTTGAAGACCATAGTGTGGTTGTACAGAGATCACTGCTCAGTGGGTTACTGGGAAGTTGCAACTGTGTGTAACGCTTGTGTGTTTAAGAAGGTAAACATGTTAATCTCAGCAAGTTGATTCTGAAACTGTGACACCAGCCAGCTATGGCCTCAAATCAGTGGAATGAACAAGTGAATGAAAACATACACTTTTGCCATGTTCCTACCACATCTCATGGACTTCAATGTGTGCGTCCAGGATGGCCACCACGTCAGCAGTAGCAGCCCTGCACCCGGATGCTCTGGCATAAGCGAGACCTCTCTGCTCACTGTGCCTCACTCTCACAATATGGAGATTAGGGTTCTCCTGCTCAAGCGACTTTTAAAGGTCACCCTTCAGATTTTCTGAATTGTATAAAGAAAAAGATCCTTCGTAGACCTTTTTGTTTGTTTTTTTGTTTTCCCAGGGTTTTTGGGTGGGTCATTGACACTACAGTCAGTGAGTCATACTTTGGCACTGCAACAGACAGGCGACTGTGGCGGGGCGTGGTCTGCGATGCTGCTGCAGGTGAGATGGATGCACCTGCATGGCATCTACTATCATGCCTCGCCAATTTAGAAGTCTTTGCTCAGTCTGAGTTGTTGTTTTGGTGATGTGTGCGGCTGGCAGCAGGAAAGCTGTGCCCGTTCGTGTGTGTTTAACAGCAACTGTGAAATAAAGCGTGCTGAAAAGCATTGAAATGTTACCCGGTCTGCCGTGGTTTATCACAGCAGACCTATTCAGAGTGTACACTGTCTCTTGCTGTATGACAGGTGGGAGAGGCTTCAGCCCTCTCATGAACCTGAACTGGATAAGCAAACAAAACTGAATGGCTAACTGGCTGGATTGGTGGATCATTTTAAATGAACCAAGCAAGAAAACTAGTTTGACCACAAACATGTGTGACATGTCACAGCTTCTGTAGGAAAAGTGTATTTGCAAAACCACTGTTTTAAAGGTTAACTGATTAGAGAGACCAAGTATGATTCAGTGTTTTGTAATTATCTGTTTGTAAATATATTGTGAATGATTAGAAGTGTATTGTGCATCTAACAGATAATCTTCAGTTACCTTTTGATGATTAGCTTGAACTAGTAGACATAAACAGGAAAGGAATGTGATAGGCATGTAGGGGAGACCGGGGACAGTTGTAACATTTCTGTCTGTATCTTGGAGATCTTTTAAGGTAGTGGATTCAAAATACAATGCAAAGTATTTACATGTCTCTGCTATTAAATAGTAGAGCTATTCCCTCTGCAACGCAGTTGATAATCGCATGGCATCGTCTCAAACACAAAGAGTGAAATGTTACAATTAACCC